TTCCGCCTCCGCAGACGTCCAAGAGAGCTGCTGCAAGATCCTCAAGGAGGGGGCCAGCCAGTCTTTAGATTAACAATACTATCTTCTGGGTTCCTCATTACAACTGTAGTCCGATGGGCCCCAAAGCCCTATTCTAATTGTTAAGGCCTTTGTTGAGGGGCTGAACTCATCATGGATGCTTGACGGCCCGGGATGATGACCTGTCAAGCTTCGTTGCAGGAGCTGGCAGCCATGAACGCTGCTTGGCAGAGCATTCGACTGACTGTGCTTCTAGCATGAGTGAATGCCGAAGGGGCAGCGGCACTCACAGCATCAGAGGCGCAAATGCGCGAGCACCTCCTCAAGGCCGTGTCCTACTTTTGTGCCTTGTGCTCACTGAAAACTTCCCTGCGCCGCCTCATTTGGCTGTCTGTTTTGGAGGAGTCAGCGCTGGAGATGGTGATCAACGCCATGAAGAACCACGTGCAACATGGGAGAGTACAGGTGGGCGGCATCTAAGTTCCGATATCTTTCTAGAGTGACTGCTGCAGGGTCAGGCCATGTCAGGCTTGCAGTGCGGTGTTGGAGCTCTCTCAGAATGTGCTCTTAGTTCGCGCTGTTGCAGATCGCGGCCTGCGGGGTTCTGCGGAACTCGAGTGCCACAAGCGATGCTTGCCAATCACACCTTGCCGCTCGGACATGTCTTGGCAGGAATGTAGGGAGTGACTGCAGTCTCTGCGGCACGTCAGTCCAACCAAAGTATCTGACACCAGCACGATCACCACTTTGGATGATGAGCGCTGAATCGACCCCCCTCCCCACTCAGCAACTGAGATCGCTGCTCCCATTAGCGTCCATCGTCTTGTAAAGCATTGCCAGATTCTCGAACCAGTCACTGTATTGACCGCGTCAACTGAACTCGCTTGTCTATATCTTGTGTGCATTTGTCCGACCCTCTCTTGCCTCCTTTGCTTTGCACCTCGTGCAAAGTCGAGGCTGCGCTGGGCGCTGGTCAGAGAGTGCTGCAAGCCATGGCGCAGCACACGAAGGACCCACGGAATGCCCAAAACATTCGGGCGAATCTGGATCGTAGCAGGTGGTAGCAGTCTTGACCCAGCTCCGACGAAGGGATTGCACACTTGCTTTCATGTGGTCTAATCTTGAGACCCCGATTTGCCGAATCAACTGCGGTTTTCCTCCCTCGGGCACAGGAGCAAGCCATATCCATACCCACAGTTTCCAAAGTGCTATGTGCAGGATGTTGCATTGCAATGTGCATGCTGCTGGGCTCTCTTTTGCCTCTCAGTGCGAAAGCCAACTCTCCAGCAGCTCGGCAGCCTGAGCATGGTCCGTTGAGAGTTGAGAGTTGCGAAGAGTTCGGTAAAGCAAAAGTGCAAGCTGCATTTTCGCCTTAGCCAAAGGGAGGACATTCGGTTTTCGGTCTGAGCTAGGGCATGCAGTCTCCATGGCTGAATCGAGTAAAGGCCCGTTGTGTGGTTATTCTGCGAATGTTGAACGGAAGCCGAGTGCCGAGAGGGGCTCATCCTTGTCCTTGCTCTGTTCGCGATTCTTGTTCTCAGGTTCATCACCGTCCATGTCTATGCTGGTCCTTAGCTTTTTGTTTGTTGCGATTAGTTCCCACAGCCTACATCTAATCTCCTCAATTTGGCGACTCATCCGATGCAACAGGCAGGAATTGGCGCGGCAGGGAGCTTTGCGTGCGACGCTCGCGGCGATGAAGTCACAAAGCGCCGTCGCGAAGGCCAGGTTTTGGGAATCTTCATTGTGGATGTGGGTGTAGGGATTGGATGATAAATGAGTGGCTCGGATGCCGTGTGAGCTGAAAACCCTGAATCATGATTGGCTTGGCAATTTGACGGTTGTGCCATGCTTGCAAGGTTGTGAGATCATCACAGCTGTCCTAGATGCGGTGCCTACTGGAGTCACTACTATTCAGTGTAGGTCCCTTACATTGATCCCGGGATCCCCGTCTCTCAACATCGCCTAGGCGACGCCAGTTTTGTTTCTCTTGCAGTGCATTGCTGTCTATGAGAGCAGCCCCTGTTTCGTTCCCTCATGACATGGCCGCATCCTGGCCATTGCTTGCATGTCAAAAACTCCCTCATGTGAACTCTGAACCCTCACCCTATTAAACTGCAAAACTTAATGAGCCGTCAGAGCTGAGCCTTTGCATTACGGTTTGTTCATAGACTGAGAGAAAGACTTCTAGAGTAATCCTTTGGTGGCACCTGAAAGTACCATTCCTGAACCTGACGCGATACTGACTACCGTATAGTCTGGTTTCCTGTACTCCAAGCCAGTCTAGTCTGATCTAATCTAGTTTTAGCTTAATTGCCTCATTTAATCTGATTTCATTTCATCTGATCTCCTCTAATCTCACGTTATCTAGTCGAGCCTCATCTAGTTCAGTCACATCCGATCGAATCTAAATGAGGCTCACCGAGGCAACAGCGTTTGATTACCTACTGACTGACCTACCCGTGCAGTGCAATCCAGTATGATCTCATCGAGTTTAATCTAGTTACCTAGTTTACACTAACCTTATTGAACTGCATCCAGATATTCCAACAGAATCCGTACGAATCTCACCAAATCCAAGCCAAGGCAGCCAACTCAAATCGACTGAATTCCATCTGACTACACCTACCTACATAGCTACCTATCTATCTGTCTATCCACATCATCGATTGGTCCATCTCTCCACCTGTCGATCTGTCCATCCATCCATACATCTACCTTAAACCTTAAACCGTGCCTTATGATGTACTTTGGCTTTGAGATAATACATTTATGTATGTGTATATATATATATATATATATACACGACCTGGAGCCTGAAGCAACGAGCAAAGTGGGAGGTGCAGGAGGCCGGCTGCTGGGTTCTGCGGGAGCTGGCCTCCACGGTCCGAAGCGACGTGCTGCTGCCTCTGGGCAGAAGAGGACTTCAGCTCTTCTTTGTGTTTGAACGGGGGGACGGCGGGGGTTCGCAGCTTGAGGCCTTGGGGTTCAGGCTTTTTTTTTGTGTGTGTTTCATTTTTTGAGGAGGGGTGGGGAGGGTTGGATCCGGGTTGGGTGTTCGTACGAGCTGCAAGAGAACTATAGGAGGCGAAGGAGACGTACAGGATAGTAGTAGTAGTAGTAGTAGTAGTAGTAGTACAGTAGCAGTAGCAGCAGTAGTAGTAGTAGTAGTAGTAGTAGTAGTGGTAGTAGTGGTAGTGGTAGTGGTAGTGGTAGTGGTAGTGGTAGTGGTAGTGGTAGTGGTAGTAGTGGTAGTAGCTGGCACTAGTCATCGTCGCCGTCCTGCGGCTCAGCAGCATGAAACTTCGACAGTTTCTGGGGTCTTCGAGGAAGAAAGCTTGCAACTGTTGAGGCTCTCAATATTTGCATGACCAGCACGCAAGTGGCATCTCAGGTGGATGGAAATGGCGAGAGTCTCAGCAGAGCGAGTGCAGCTTTCTTCTCGGACGAAGTAGTGGCCGAATTGACCAACTTGGAGACGAGAAGCTTACCCAATATCTGGTCAAACAGCTGTCAAGGTCCAGGCTCTGTCGGTGGCCATCCACGAACACGATGTGCCGGAGGTGCAGAAGGCTCGGCTTGCTTCCTGCAGTCACACCCAGAACCAGAGTCAGCAAAAGCAACACACGAAAGCCACCAGCACCCCATTTTGTTCTGCTGTTGGGGCCGTGTCTGCATCGCGCAGCATTCTGTTAGGCAGGGTCGGCTGCTCGCCAGCGCCTTGCCGTCCGCGGTTTCAGGCGAGGCCCTGGCATAGGCATGCGAGATTTGCAGACACGGGAATTTGACAACTCTGATATTCGGGGATCACACTTGTCTCGTCTGAGCAGCTGCTTTGCAACAATCCCGGGGCCAGCTTGTCTTGGGCAGTTCAGGCTCAGTCAGTTTCAGACGCAGCTGGTGCGGCCTTCCATCGTGAAGCGACGTCGACACTTCGCCAGCTTTGGTGGGCGAGTGAGGCATGAGACTGTGTTCGGCAGGCCACACATTCAACGTTGCTTCAAACCCCGGACGCCCAAAGTCCTCAAACGTTCCTCTGCGCTCTCAGGAATGATCTCACTCTCCTCCATTCCGGAGTGAATGCTGCTTGGTCGCAAGATAATTAGCGCAACCATCACATCGTTGAAATGAAACTTGAAGGCAGCAAACGAGCTCCTCAGATAATAGTGCCTGCCATCTGGCACCCATAATCCGAGGGTCAAAACCGCCGAGGGCAATATAGCTTCTTCGCCGAAACACTTCTGCGAGTCCCCAAGTATCTTTTCATGCATCGAAGCAAGACATGCAGTCTACCCTCACCATGGCTGCGAAAACAGATCGCATGGCATGAAAAACGTTCAACCCACCATGAACATGTGGAACCGAATCATCACCCTGCAAGGCCGTTTCCGCAGCCTACCCTTGCTGCGGACCTATGCGCTCGATGCATCCAGATATCTCGGAAGATAATGTGAACAACCATATCTGAGTGCCTTCAGCAACCATTTGGGACAGGGTCACGCCTGTATCGGTCTTCTTCCTTTTCGGCGCCACAGCCGCCAGAAAGCCGATTGTGTACAGACTTGCTCGATCAATGCCAAACTTGGGGAAAAGCTGACCTGTGTGGGTAGCATTTATGGTCGTGTACATATTTGCCGCAGACTAGTTGTCAGCAATACTCAGCCTATGCTTAACCACGATCTGACAGTTTCAGCCGTCACAAGGTGGGCGGACGGTGTATGCAAGGATTCTAACATGATATAGATACCAGAAGTAAGCCATATCATCAGGCTCACATGACAAGATGCAACAGTATACTAGGTAGGCAGATGTGCGACTCTGGTTGCTCAAGCAGAACACTCATAGCATGGAGGATGCACGAATCGGCCTGCTGCCAGCAACTTAGTTAAGTAGAAACTGCAAACCGCACCAGAAATCCCCAAAAGCCCCCTCCAGGGGCCCCAAACCACTCAGTCTTGAATCCCAGAAAAAAGTCTCCGCAGGCTGTAGAAGCTGCCCGGCTGGGTTCGCGCCCGGTGTCAGTGTCCCGGCTCGGCCCGAGCAGGTCGGGATCCAGAATTCTGGGCTTCAAGGTTCATAATATGATGAGAATAACAATAACGATAAGAATAGTAATAAGAACAATAAGAATAGTTAAAATTGTAGTGATATGCATCGAGTGAAATGCTTATTACTGTGATCATTATGAACAGCGTTCTCACTAGTTGATTTACCTATGATTGTGGTTGTTCTGGTTAGCACCGTGGTTTTCGCCCATATAACCGGCACAGCCATCTTTGCCCCTTGCGGAAGGTGACGATCAAGAAAGTGAGGACCCTCGATTTCCAGCCTTCCAGCTTAAACGCAGCTCTCCCATCCTGCTTCTGTACCTTCGTCCACCATTTTAAGCGGCCTTGGTCATGAGCATCATTTGGCCTGCAGGTTCCAGATTGCTGGCCGTGAAGTTGCCGTGCAGATCCGAAATGACCAGGCCCCCGATAGAACATGCCTGGGTCTGGGGCCGGGGTGTTTGAGTCGAGATGGTACGGGGCTCCACATCATCGTCATGTCTTGACTTGCTGACTTGCGGGTCACAGCAATATGTTTGCTTCGTGAAGTTTGTGACAGACACTAGAAATCCTTTGGACCACATCCGCTTCCGCGGTAGTTTCTTGCTCTGTGTGGGTGTGTGTATGTCTGTACGTACGTGTGTTGTGTTTTTGTTGCGTCGATTGTTCTCCCCTCTGTGATGCTGTTATGCCCTCTTCTGGCATGTGTGAGGTGCTGGTCCAGCAGGGGCAGGTTTTCGTGCCTATGGCCCGGAGCTCGCCCACTTAGGCTGATGACAGACTTATGGCAGGGCTGCATCGCGAGATTACGATGTCTCAGCATGGCAAGGCGAAGTACCTCAGTACCATCGGCCTGCTTGGAGGCGCAGCAACGGCTGGTTGCAAGACTCTCTCTCTCTCTCTATCTCTCTCCCCTGTAATGTTCAATGTACTGTGCATGTGAATCTGAAGGCATGCCTTGTCCACGAGTTACTCATGAAGTACTGCTTCAATGCCCAAAAGAAAGCAGGTCTGCCTTCACTGGCACTCCAGACCTGAATGCATGAAGCATCAAATCGCAGCAACACTTCTCAGTGTGTGGGCCCATGAGGCACAGCGAATGGTAGCGCGACGCCCCGAGGTGGGGTGATGTCTTGGAGATTACCCGTTCGCACAGATTGAGCTCATTGCCCAGCAGCTGTGTCGGGAACTCTTCAGTAGAGTTCAGCATGCCGCTGTCCTATCATGTCATCTCCTACGGGTCATGTGTGGTTGTGTAGTCTAGTGAACAGCGGTATGGCGTCCCTGAATAGGCGCAGCACTTCCGAAGCTGGTGTGTAGAATGGTGCGTGGGAAGCAACTTGAGAAACCTGCAACGCGATGAAGCGAGATGTCACAGCTACTTCACACCAAGTGGCAGCCAGTAGCGCCACGATGGCAATCAGTGGCCACATACAAACTTGCATCCCTGTCATTGGTATGTAGCTCCGGCTACTTTCCACATGCTATAGCTGCGGTTGTGCGGGAGGCTCTGGCAGTGGTGGCGGGACACCCCGAAGTGCTCATCCCAGTCCTTGTCACGTAGAGCACAAGCGGTATAGCGTCGAGAATTCGATTTGTAGCCTAGCTGTTCTGCATCGCATTTCCGAGGCTCAGTTGCCCCTGCCGCCAGCGAAGCGCAAAGCCCTCAAGGCTACCGAAGGGCCCTGTGTGATGAATGCTGCAAGCTGCAACATCATGTACTCGATACCGGTATCTTCCGCAGGGATGATTCTTTAGCATGCACAATCCCCGACCCAATGGCTCTCACTGCTTCTTCGCTGCAAGGCCCAAGAGTAGTTTCAACACCGGGCCAGCTGAGAACGGCCCACCAGCAAGATACCATCCCAGTCTTGCCTGAACTCTCATAAGCTTAGACTGCCACGCGGGCTGCCGAAATCACATCGGCTGGATACTTGCAGTTCATCAGCAGGGAGAAGCGCGGGGCGTGTCGTTGTCTCGCGAGAAAGGATCTTCTCGGGATCCTGCTCGGCTGATAGAGCCAAGGGTGCAAAAGAAGAAGAAGGAGCAGTGCACCGAAGTGCATTCTTCGTGGCAACTTCCATCAGCCCCCTCAAGTGAACCTATCGGGTCCATTTTCTGCCCGAATTCGGTTCCCGAAACTCCGCACATCCAGGCGCCACTACACCTCGAAGTTCGACGGGGTCGAGGATGATTTCTGTTGCATTGCAGTAGCCAGGATGTGATGGAAGTTATTCCGTGTCGAAGCACCAGCATGCATTCATGCAAATGAGCGGATATGTCAGTGTACGTGTCTCCGCTCCCACAAGTGGTTTTTTCCCTGCATCTGAAGCATAGACTTAGATTGGGCATGTACAGCTGTAGGTAGGTACGTGCGCACATGTGGATAGGTACTGTAGGTAGGTATAGGTACGTAGGTATGTACAGTAGGTATGTAATTACGCGCGTATGTGTCTCTATGCCTGTACGTGTATTCAATGCGTGACGTTCGTTGTTGATGAGAAGCGTCGCTTTGTAATACGATCCTGTTAGACTCTGAAGGACTATGCCGGTGCCAGCGAGCAGCCCGAAGGCTGCAACTCCCAAGGCAACTCCAAAATCTTCCCCCCCGAAAGCCACGCCGCCGAAAGCTGCGGCACCAGCCAGCCCCAAACCCAAGTCCCAGTCCCTGGCCATTCCGAACCTCAAGGCACCCACCAAAGCTAAGGCCGCCAGCCCAAAGTCAGGCTCTCCCATCGCGGCTAAAGTTGGGGCAGTCCCAAAGCCAGGCGCAGTCCCAGCTAAGCCTTGCCCACCCACCCCACGCTCAGCCCTCACCCCTCGGCCTGTTGCACCAGCCCCTGCCAGCGGCCCGAGCCCAAAGCCCGTAGGTAACCCCAAGCCTGCCGCAAGCCCACGCACCGCGCTAGCGAAAGCCCTGGCTGCCAAAGCACAACCGAAGCCCGGAGGAGAGGCACTCAGAAAGTTACTCTTGAAAGGGATTGTGTCTACTGCAGCCGTCCGTGCGAGGACAATTATGTAAACACTATGCTATGGCACATGTGATCGGCCCCTCATAGCAGGGTCATGCTGATGTAATTCTCTGGGTGCCCTTCCCTTCGCTCACGCTGTCCTCTCACTGATAAACCCAAGGCTACGGCCTCGCTGCCACACGGTGAGGGCAGCGGCCTTGCTCATTACTCGTTTCTCAACAGCTCCGTCAGTACCAGTACCAATTAGTAAGCACGTCTACTCTTCATGGTAACCACAACAGCGTAATCTGGCTGAACATAGCAAGATTTGCAATGATAAGACCAATGACGAAGATCGAGAGAGTGGGACCAACAGCCAGAATACTAGCTTAGTGTGCGTGCGTTTGTGTGTGTGTGTGTGTGATTTGTCTGTGTGATGGCATGTTTGTTTGTCATTGGGTGCTTGCTTGTGACCGTCTATATGTCAACTATATATATATATATATGTGTGTGTGTATGTGTATATATATATATATATATATGTGTGTGTGTGTGTTTGTTTGCGTGGCTTGCTTGTGCTTTGGTGTGTGTGTGTGTGTTTGTGTTATGTGTGTCAGGTTGTCTGTCTGTTCAAAATTATGTCTTGTCCAAGTGCCTGTTAGACACTGCGAACTTCAGGCCCCCAGCTGTCGCCAAAGCTCGACCCAGGCCCCGTGAAGGCAAAGCTCTTACAGATGGCGATTGCTTTGCAAAGCGGGGAGGATGGGGCTTTCAGGCGACCTTCCGAAGAAAATCGCAAACAAGCATACGAAAGCAGAAGCAGACCCTAATCTGAAACAAAAGGCAGCTGAGGATTTCAGTTCTTGGGTTGAGCGTGGCAGCTCTTGGATGCTCTTGGATTCATGTGTAGTTTATTGGAATGAGGACCTTGTATACCAGGTACCATCATGTGGGGGTTTCCGAATACAGGGGACCCTATTATAGTACCCTAAATAGTAGGATCCTTCTTGTAAGGACCCCCAAATAAAGTACCCCTGATTTGCGGAAATTTCCATGTAGAGCAAGTCCAGGCAACTCCCTTAGTCAATACACGACAGGGTTCCCAGCCTCGAGTTGATTTCTGTTTTTATCCCTATCAGAACCACTATATAGTGCTATTTGTCTGCTAGGCATGCACGCACATGAGTACCCCAAAGTGCGCAGTGTACGTCTGTACCTTCACACTATCGTGTGTGTTTTTTGGAAATAGCTGCATCTATGCAGCCTTCCTCGTGGTTCAGGGGTAATTTGATTCCTGTTGCGACGGTAATACACTAAGCCTGCATTACAACCTCCACCGTAGTACTTCTGAAGGTAGTTAGACTGCCCTCCCTGTCGCCGCCATGAGCATGGAGTCACACACATGGTTGTTCATTGGAGCGGCCTTCGTGCTGCAGATTGCCTTGGGTGTCAAGCTGGTTTCCGGTACCTCCGCGAGTAAGGACAAACTCAAGCAGTGGTTGAGTCGATCCCGGAGCTGGTTTATCGGCCTCTTCCTGAGGCAAAAGAATAATTCCCGCACGCAGGACCAAATCTTATGGAATGAAGTCTTGCGGATCCACATTCAGCTGTCACAGTGGAGTATGATCTTTCTGATGTTTGCCGGAGGCGGTTTGACGACGGCGGCGCAATTGTTTTTCTTGTCGGGATCAGACCCAGAGTCGTTCTGGCTGTCCAAGCCCCAATTGTGGACGGTTCTCTCGGGCGTTGTCGTCGTGTATTTATTCAGCTTTGTGCCGGTCCGCTTCCGGCCGTACACCGTCCATGCTTTCTACGTCACGATGAACTGCCTGGCGTTGATCATGCTTCTACCTTCCCACTGTCCCAGGGATCAGCTGATGCGAACTTCGATGACGGCAATCATCATCTTCCGCGTGCCGTCGCTTTTGCTCACGCCTCGAACACTACTAGTGCTAGCCATGGGCTCCGGATACCTGCTAATGTCTTTCCTAAGGTTTACACTTGAGCCAGTTCCCGAGACAAGTGGTTGCACTGTGGACGAGCAGTTCAAGGTGAGAATGGAGATCTATGCATTGCTAGCTACGACCTTCCTCTCCTTCATGGTGAAGTCAATGGTCAAACGAAAGGTGGAACTGAGCGTAGACGGAAGCAACCTAGCAAAACAACTCAGTGCGGCATCCTCGTTGCTGAAGCTCACCTGTGATGCTGTGCTTGAGCTGGATGACAACCTGCGACTCACGGAGCACTCACCGGAGTTGTCGGCATTACTTCTGCACCGACCAGGCTCCAGCATGAAAGAGAAGCGGTTAACAGACTTCATGAAGCCAGATGATGCAACCCGTGCCACGCAAATCCTATCCGACGGTCCGTCTTGCTATGAGAGCCAGATCTCTGCTCACGCGTTTCACACGCGACTTGTGGATAGCTGTTCAAGTAAGCTCTGCGCAGAGGTTTTCCAAGTGAAGTACACCAAGCATGACGGCAAGGAGTACAGCTTGTTGGGGCTTCGTGACTTTACAGACGTCAAGCCTCTCTCTGGAGGCAATGCCGTGGATGCATTTGATTCAACTGTCAGCACGGAGTTGCCGATCTCTCCACTAATGACGGCAACAGACACCACTTTGGCAGTTGCAAGTTCGGTCGTTTCAGACGACCGCGACGACCGAGACCTGAGAACCGACGATGCCAGCAGCGTGAGCGCAGTCTCAGTCTCCAGCGAAGAGTCGCTTAAAGTGAGGCCCCGAACGGTCTACATGGATATTGACACAGAGAGCATGCTGATCCATGCGGCTTCATCCCCAGTGATGGCACTCTCTGGCTCGTCGCTAGCAGACGTGTTTCCCTCACCACACACGAGACTTCTGTTGGAACAACTCCGTCGTGAGGCAGACCTCTTCCGAAGTCGGGGCGAAGAACCGCCGGGCCGTGTCCTCAACTACGAAGAGATGCCCGTAATTCTGAACCCCGGCGCGGTCGACCGTATTACCGGCACTATGCAGATCACCCAGGCGAGATTCGGCAGGACCCACGTTCTCATGGCATTTTCCCCCCTCCGCCCAAGATCGGAGTCCGAAGGCCGGCGCAGATCTCAGAACTCCCAGAGATCCGCAGTAGAGAAGCCTGACAGAGCATTGTCCCTCTAGGGGCCCCCCCCACCAGTGCTAGTCCTAGCTTCGAAACTCAGAGCATTTGGGGTTTGGCTGGAGGGAACCCAAACCTCAAGAGGTTCATACGAAGAACTCCAAGGCACAAACGTTGCCAGGGCAGACCCGGGTAGCCACTAGATTGCCACAAAAGGCGTTGTGTAGCCACAGTCTCCTGAACACCTGAGCTCCACAAAAAGAATCAGCCCTCGCAGGTGTGGATAAGCAGTTATACGCAAAGCTGTTCAAAAGACTTCCAACTTCGAATCGTCGTCGGAAGCATCTTCGTATAATTAGGAGTTTCAGACAACACGCCTAGAAATGAAAATCGTGGAACTATGTTTGTAATATTCAGAACTCCTTCGGCCGGGGAACTTTTTCAATGAAGATCCAAGTACAGCCTTCCGTAGTTGAAATAATTGCACAAACATTGAATAACCAGCCGTACGAGAACATACCTGAACACCTTACTGAATTGGGCCCCTCTCTCCGAAAGGCCACAGGCCTCCAGTGAGCTCAGTGGTCAGGGTTGGCTCGGGTTTTTCCTTCTGCCTCATTACCGTTCATACCTGCAGGACTCAGGTAGTTTATGTCATTTATGTCCATACCCTAGTCCAGTACTGTGTGGCATGTTGTTGTATAAGTTGCTTTGCCTCGTAAATCCCTGTAACAGTGATTCTGGGGAAGTCCTGCATCTTGCCGACAGAGCTTAAAGCCTTGTCGGCAACACTTGCCAGCGATTCACGAGACGCTTAATTTTTCTTCGCGTTCATTGACATCTCCCTCCTGACCGGGAGTTGTTTTCATGTACTTAGGGTTCTCTGTGATGTAACCGTGCTTAATTAGCAGAGTGCATACGGGAATAAGAACCACAATCCAAGAAAGGGCCCCATTTTCATTTAGCTCGCCTGCTCCGGCAAATAATTTAACTGAATGCCGAGCGCCGAATGTGATGGAACGACTGCATCAGAGGAAAGGATGGGTGTATGCAGCACTTGCAACAGTATTGCTCTAAATACAGGAGAAGGATCCTCACCCTGTTTCCCTGCCCTCAGGAGCTCCGGTCATGCGACTTTCCTGGGATTGCCCGGGCCTCTGCTTTTGGACGGGCCGAACCTTTTGGGGGCCCTTCCGTCGGGATCTCCGTCTTGGGAGGAAGCGGCAACCATTGAGGCTTGCTGTGCTGACATAATGGCCATCGGCTCCGTGTCAAGCACTGCTTCTGGAGATTTTGCATCAGTGAAGTTTTATTTGCACACTGCTCAGCACAGTCATAGTTATAATCAAAACAGAAGGAGCACAGTTTCATAAGTATCAGCACAATGATGTGACATGGCATGGCGCACTCCTGATGTGGCACCGCGAAACTTCCAAGTCCAAGCCGTTTTTGTGTTTGCCGGGGAAGCCTTCGGAGGTTAAGGCACTTGGGCCGCAGGAAAGCTCGGGGAGAGTGCTTACGGAATATGTTGGCTGAAGAGCAGGCGGTTGGCTGCGGCTGCCCCCCCCACCTCGCATGTCACCTGTGGACGAATTCAGGTCCTACATCCTCCAGTCGTGCTGGTTTCCAGCGGGCTGTTGCAGGTGCGGAGAGAAGATTCCTGGACCATTGCAAGGAAGTCCAGCTGTGTGACCGGCATGTTGCACAGGATGAACCTGACGCGGCCGACGGGCAGCATTACAATCTGAATCAGCCCTCCTAAAGTCCTAAAATGAACCCAAACTCTAACGATCATGATAATTAGAAGAGGGTTTGGGGGTATATTCTGCTATAATTGTTATCAGGAGCCCCCAAAATCCCAAAATTGTTTTCAGCCCGGCTCATGGGATTCGTGAAGAACACGAGCTCAGGGATCGGCCCAAAAAAGTTTGGCAGCCGACACTTTGCATTTCTCCATGTGATTTCCCGATGATATGCGGCTAAGTGGACTAGTCGAAACCAGACAGTCTTTGGGGAGACAACATCGTTCTATTCGTAAGATTAGATACCCTGGGTCGGGTTTTCTCAGGTGATTCCTACGTCTGGGATACTTGTTTTGTGTATTGGTAAGTTGGAAACTGATCATC